TTGTGGTTTCGAGTATCCTTTGATACTCAGTTTGTTTTACTTGTGGTTTTGAGTATCCTTTAATACTCAGTTTGTTTTATGGGTTGTTCACGGAGGATTTAGAAATCCGTCCATGCAGGACATGGACGAAGCTTGTATTTAAAGACCGCTGAGTCCCTTAGAGGAACAGCAGACTTCGACGGACAGAGTATTTCTAATATACTTGGTTGAACGGTTACCTCTTCAAGTCCCTATTCTTTATATCTTCCTCTCCGAGCCTCCCTTAGCGCAGTACGCCCACCGGTTGTAGATCAACTTGTACACTACTCCTATTGTACCCGGAAGTGTGATTAGCACCCCGGTGCGAACACGTTACACACAGGATACAACCAGACTTGGTGCCCAAGTACCGGATGTACAGAATGTACCAGACACAGAATCCTTCCTGCTTGCATTTGGATACACCACCCATACCTCTAATGCAGGAATTATTTTTGCTGATGCTTTTCATATCTCTAAAAGTGATAGTATGTAGACTTGTAGAGGTTGTAGTACCATAACTAATTCATCAATCTACTTCAACTGAGTCCCATCTTATAGAGCAGAGCTTCTTTCATATCACTTAGTGAAAACCCCTTAGTTGTATGCCCTGTATCTCTACAGAGAGGGCTATATAGATGCCTTATCATTCTGTATAATAATATCTTATCATTACAATAACTATGGTAGAACCTGCCTGCAGTCAAACACATAACCTTATATATTTAGACATGTGCAATACCAATTATGCTTTCATATATAATACCGCTACTAGACAAAAGTCCTAGCAATCACTTCTGGTAAGACAAAGTCCATACACTAAACAAGTACTGTACCAGCATGACATGAGTTGAATAACTAGCTCAACAATATTGTGGCAAATTAAATCTTAAAGTTACTAGCAAAAAGGTAAATAATTAATCAAGAATATACTCTTGTAAATTTGTAAATTCTACAAGTACTTCATATACCTCTGTTTAGCCTCTATCATACTATCCTTCATAAACTACATCAATATTCATGGATTCCCAATAAAGTTAACAGATATCTATCACACCTTAATTAGAATAGCAAGCTTATAATTCAAGATCTACAAACCTATGCTTATGTGAGAAAATCCTAAGTGGTCAACTATAAACAAGAAAAGATAGATACAGAATAGCTGTCTGCTAGAAACATCAACCAAGGTGCCACTAGTAAAAATAACTTAAAAGACAAATAAAAGGCCTACAACCATAGCTCTTTCAGAACTGATTCTCTCTTAGAGCTGTAGTGCTGTCTTTTTTAGAAGGAACTATTATGATAGGCAATGTAAAGAAAGTGGACTTGAGTGTAATATAATTTCAAATGGAGGTGTTTTATCCTCACTTAGCAATAGCTGACTAAGCTATCACCAAGACTTTTGTCTAGTGGTTGTACATAGTATATATCTTTTATTGTATTATACTAAGAATATTTTGCTAAGATAGGATAAAAGTAACAAATTCTGATTTTCTAAAATGCTATTTTTCAGGCTATCTCTTAGTATATTTTATTTATATTACATTTTTTTACTCTCAAAGATTACATTTATAGCTCAAGTACTTCAAAACTAGTATAAGGCTACTAAAGAAATGTTACTTGGCTGTGCAAATTTCTTCTGCCAAGGCTGTCTTACTAAGCCTCAAAAATCAGAATTTTAGAGTCAAACTACAGGGTATTCCAATATGCCAGCTTAGATTAACCTAATATAATTCCTGTTATATATTATCAGTTAATTAATTCAGAAAATATACAACAATTAGCTATTATTAAATTCTATTATGATAATGAAATAGTATCATATATGGTATAAGATAAATAATAGAATATTATATGATACTATCCTGTACTGGAATTGACAACCCATAATTTAAAATAATTAAATACCATTAATACTTTGTAATTAATATATTTTAATATAGTATTAACTAAAAAATAAAATATAAATATGTTGGTTATTAAATTACAAAATATTTTATATAATAATATTATTATGGTATAGGATAATTCAAAATTGAAGGAGAAAATTCTAGTTAGCTATAATAAAACAGTTATTTAAGTATTAACAGCTGTGGCTAATATAACCCTTTTGACTCCTCTCACCAAAAATACATCATTTAAAAGCCAAATGAAGGTCCGTAAAAAAAAATCTACAAGCTTGATAAAAACCACTAGGCTCTTCACAGTCATTTGGCCTTTATTACAGTGGTCCTTTTGGAAATTTTTAAGTTGTTTTATAGAGGCTCCATTATTGGTTTTACCCGCCGTAGTGCAGTTCAATAGCAAGTTGACCTAACCGAGTCCAGTAATGTGCTCGTACCATACAGTACCAGCTGGGTGAGGGGAAAATATTACATTGGGCGAGGTGAGGTTAGCCGTGATATTCGCATCATATCATAGCTCCTCGAGAATAAATACTATACCGAGTACGAGTACGAGTACAGAGAAGTGCAAGAGTTTTTTGGGGGGGAATGCAGAAGAAAGTTGCCGTAGCCACCTATGATGAGTAGAAAAAAAATCTTTCCCTTTTTTTGGCAGACATAATAACATTTTCACCTTTAGAAACCTTCTCCCCTGCCAATCTATAATCTAGGCTATCGTGGGTAATGATATTAGAATGCAGAAGTAGAAGAAACATGAAAAGGGAAAGAGAAAAAGAAAAAGAGAGAGATTGCGAGAAGAATGAAGATAAATGCCAAGAATAACCCCCACACACACTAGAACAGCCTCTAGCGGGACGACTTCTTGGACCTCCTGATTCTCTTCATAACCGTTTGATCACCCTCTGAATCATCGTTGTTGCCCCCACCGTCCTGGTCCTCGTCGTCGTTATCCACCTTGGGGTCTTGATTCGCAGGGTCGTCATCGTCCAGTTCCTCATGACCCGAAGACTCGATAGCTTCGGTGTCGAAAAAATCGTTCGTGCGGTGGCCATCGGGGTATTCATCCTCATCCTCATCATCGCCCTCGCCTGAGTCGGTGTATCCTTCAGCATCAGAAATTTCGGCGTCCGAGTCGTTAGTTTCAGAGTCGCTAACGCTACCGTTATCGCCAGTAGACCCCTCGGCATTTATAAAGCTTGCATCCTCAATATGGAAGCCCTCAAGCCCAACATTTTCAAGCTCGTTATCAGACCCGCTCTCACTGCCGTCCTCCCCGATACCTTCCATGTAGAGAACTTTGTTGTCATCATCCTGCTTTGATGCGCCTGCTGGGGTAGACCTGAATTGCATTTGAGCGGAAAGCATCTCTAGTCTCCCTTGCAAAGACAATAATTTTGGCATACTACCAGCACGGGCTGAAACAATCTGGTGGAGTTCGGAAATCTGGCTCACCAGGTCTGGCAAGGTGACTAAATACCCTCCATGCGCAACTGCGATCCACTTAACCCAATTACCGAGCGGTTTGGCACGCCCTGGATGTCTGGCAATGCGTTCGGCCAAACGTTTGAGAAGGGTGACGGCCAAAGAGGAGTTCAGGCGGCGAATAGTTGCCAATATAGCTTCATTGTCAGTGGAGTGTAGACAGGACTCCAAAAGGCTGCTATCCCCTGTTTGGAGGGCCTGAGTTAGAACAGTGGTCAGAGATCCCGAGACCGGTGCTTTTACGAGGGCATTGGAAACCCCCCGGAGCCGCATGGCTTCTGGTTCCGAGGCCTTGGATGCTTCGGTGACTCTCAACACCCGGGCCTTCTCTCCAAACGTCTGCTCCGCCTCATCATCACTGCCATCGCCTTCTTGGTCACTTTCATCCTCCTCCTCCACCGCCGCTGACTCTTCCGCCGGGGAAAGATCACCTATCTCAATATTGCGGAGGTCACCACCTCCAATGACTACCGCTTTCAACCCATCCACAGTATGTCGCATCCCATTCATTCCGCCGCTAGCAGTAGCGCCGACGCCAGCGTGAGTACTGATGTTGATATTCCCGACGAGGGCCAAGGCGCTAGTCTCTGCAGATGACCATATTATTCGTTCGAAGAAAAAGGAAACACCGCCTTCAAGGCAGACAAGAACTAACTCGTCGCCCTGAATACAGGCGTCGACAACTATCACTACCAAAGAGGTGGTAGCCCTAGTGACACGGACAACTGCGTCCGCTTTGCGAACAGTGGTTCCGCGCCTCTTTGATCCGTCGTCTGAGGAAGCGGGAGTAAAAGGGTTCTGGAACAGCTCTACTGTGCCGTCTGTGGTTACAGCGGTCAAGATTCTGTTCTCGTGGACCGTAACAATACGGGCACCCGATTCAGCGACCAAAGACCCCTCAAGATTTTTATCCTCTATGGAAAAAATGTTTATGAAACGATCCGCTTCCGCCACTGAAAGAAAGAACTTGTTGTCATCGGAGGAAATTATGGTATGAATGGGTGCAGTTGATGACGCGAACTCCAGTGCCTCCCTCAGCTTAGGGTTCTCATAGTCAACTGCGTACACCTTGTGAGACCCGCAGAGAGCAAAAGGCGGCGCATATGTCACGGATTGAACCGATGCATCTCTCATTGATAGAACTCTATGAAAGTTAGTAAACTCAAAGTGCAATACCATATAATATCGCCCTATCCACTATCTCAGGTAGACCTCCACTCTCCATGCTCAGAGACAAAACCCCCCAAGAAGGACAAGTGCTTCCCTCGCGCAGTAAAACCCGAGCATGCTGATTGTGTTGGATCTCCTTTGACTGATATCCGCAATTCCCGTAACCCATCAATCTAGACCTATCATGGGTTGATGCCACAATCCCCATTGATAATCTGATAGTGGATTGGGCGAGATTATACGTCCAAGTGACAGAAGGAAAGACTGGAAGGCATACCTCATTGCAACCCTGCGCTTAATATCCCACTCTATGAGTCTCTTATCTGAACCGACGCTCCATCCCCTGCCAGGAAATTTCTTTCCAGAAAAAACAAACTGCCGAACCTCACCAGAATGGCCGGCACTGCTAAGTTTCCCCACAACAACCCCTTCTAGTGGATCTACCAACAATATCCCTCCACGGCTAGCGGAAGCCGCAACTACGGCAACACCAGTATTCCCCCTTCCTTCGCCATCTGTCCCGGTGCGCTTCCTCTTATGCTTCCTGATGGTCTCCTCCGAGTTCGGAATTTCACCCCAGCTAAGATGGTTGATAGCCACGCCCTTGTCGAGCGTAAGTTCACAGCGCAGTCTATTTGCAACTATGTCGTGAATTCTCAAGCATTGCGCATCAAGACCAAGTACGACAGAAGCAAAAAGGGACAGTTGTAGCGGCGAGGGCGAGAAAGCGGAAGCAAGTATGCTTTGCGCAGAAAAGGAATTGATAGAATCAGACATTGGTGGAGGAGGTGCGACTCGAGCCTTCCCAGGTAATCTCTGTTTTGAGGTTACCATCGCGGGGCGGATGGTGGGGCGAGGGAAAAAAACAGGAATTGGGGAGAAGTGGTATGGATCGGATCAGTGGTGTGGTGTGTGCGCGAGAGAGAGAGGAAGAAGGACGATTGGAGATGGCTTTTGTCGAGAAATTCCAAGAGGCGGGAGAGATTGGGAGAGACCCTTGACCTTATTTTCACAAGGATGGAGGACGAACTTTTTTTTTATGCCCTAAAACATCCAAATTCTTTTTTGAGAATGGGTTAGTGTGTACTTTTAATTACGGCTAGCATGCGAACTTTTCATCCCCCAAGCTTAACAAAAAAGAATCTCGGAGGCCGGGTAACGTTCTTCAAACGCACAAGACATCACCCAGCCAATACGGTTATCATAAATCGTTGGCGGCACAGGTATTGGAATTGTAGATCACTAGACTACATATCATACATCGCTTCAACCCGGAACAGCCCCTATAAACTCCCCTCCAACCCAGAAATTTCCTCCCCGCGCAGACATCACCTTCAATGTCAGATAATGGATAAATTTCACCCTTCACTTCGCGAATGTGCCATTGCCGCAACTGCGTTTAAGCTCCTACTCTTCCCCGCATAGTCTGTTTTCCTTTACCAACTCACTGCCCATGTGTGGCCGGCATCGCTGACTACGGTGATGGGTAGTAAGTCTACGGATTTCGAAGTTCATAGGAATTGGCTGGCGATTACCCACTCATTGCCAGTGAAGGAGTGGTACTATGAGGTATGGGTTCCCATGGCTCCCCGAGACGCGAACGGGCTGGCGGGAGTGGAGCTAATAGGATAGAGGGGAGGGATAGAAAACCTCGGAGTGGACACTGGACTATCCCCCCTTCTTCGCAGCGTTCGAATGGGTGCTCAGCCAGGTTGCTCGATTCTTTGATCCGGCAATGCTGGGTGTGAGGAATTTGGGATACGATTCTGTTCAGACTGTATACTTTCAGCGGTTGTCGGTGGTGTTTACGGAATTACTCCTTGTTTATGCACTGCAAAAGTATCTCCCCCTTTGTTCTCTCCAATTCGGGTAATGTTGACAGTGGCAAAGGTTCATAGATACGAGTCCCGAATCCTCTAAGCGCTCCGCCCATGCTGTAGCCCTGTCCATACTCCTCTCACCTGGCTTCTTAATAATTGACCACATTCACTTCCAATACAATGGTTTCCTATATGGGATTCTAATTCTCAGTATAATCCTCGCCCGGTCACCCAATACCCGCTTATACTCCGGTTTTCTCTTCGCTACGTTGCTCTGCTTCAAGCACATATACCTCTACCTAGCGCCAGCTTACTTTGTCTTTCTCCTACGAGCATACTGCCTCGGCGACAGCATCTTCCAAATCCGGTTTGCAAACGTTATAAAGCTAGGGGCGGGAATTATAGGAATCATTGCCGCGGCATTCGGACCGTTCCTGTATTGGGGGCAGATACCACAGCTACTATCCCGGCTATTCCCGTTTAGTAGAGGCCTCTGCCACGCCTACTGGGCGCCGAACATCTGGGCGATATACTCCTTCATAGACAGAATTCTGATAATAGGTACTCGTGCATTAACTTCCTCTTCACTGCCTCCCCACTAAAAAAAAAAACCACTCCCACAGTCGCCCCCCGTCTCGGCATCCCCGTAAACCAGGCAGCCCTTAGTAGCGTAACCCGCGGCCTCGTTGGCGACACCACCTTCGCCGTCCTCCCAGAGATCACACCTGGAACAACCTTCCTCCTAACCATATTCTTCCAAGCCCTCTCCCTCATAAAACTCTGGACAAACCCCACCTACGAAACATTCCTCGGCGCTATAACCCTCTGCGGCTATGCCTCCTTCCTCTTTGGCTGGCATGTACACGAGAAGGCCATCCTTCTAGTGGTGGTCCCCTTCTCCCTCCTCGCCCTAAAGGACCGCCGCTACCTCGGCGCGTTCAGACCACTAGCTGTCGCCGGCCACGTCTCTCTCTTCCCACTACTCTTCACCGCGCCCGAATTCCTGATCAAGACGGTGTACACAATCGCCTGGCTCGTGGTCTTCCTCACTGCCTTTGACGCCCTCGTGTCCCCCGTCGCGGTTAACACCAGGAGGTTCTTGCTGGATAGATTCACTATGCTTTTCATAATTGTCGCCATTCCGTTGATTGCCTACACTAGTCTTTTTCATAAGGTTTTGTTTGGGGGCCGGTACGAGTTTCTACCTTTGATGTTTAATAGTTCCTACTCTGCAGTCGGCGTCGTAGGGAGTTGGGTCGGGTTTTGTTGGCTGTTTTTTGGTTCTTGAAATGGGGTTGCAGCAGTGTAGTGTAGTGGGTTCAAGGAGGGGGATGGGTGTAAAGAGGGAGAAAATAAACCGTAATATATATACATATATATATATATATAACGCCCTCTTGGAAGATTCTTCGTCTCTTTCATGTGCTTGGCTCGAGCGGTCGTGGTACCGTATTAAGTTTGCGCATTTTTACATCGCCCGCTAACTACCATGCATACCATTGCTTACCGGGCATACCCGGATGTTGCAACAATGCGCAAACCCTCCATCAACGCTTTAACATCAGATATCGGTGCATCATGGCACATACCTCCCTAGGTATGATACACGAACCACAATCCATGACTAACCAACCATTCAACCCACCATTCCCACAGCCAAACCCGCCCACCACAGAAAATTCCATCACATCAGAGTAAGACACGAAGCAACGAGTGATACCCCATGCCCGCTACCTGAACCCTTCAGTTTGACGCAATGAGAAACCTTCAACTTCACCCGATAACTTTAATTCCCCCCCCCCGAGAAACTAACCTCTACGTGATGTACAATAAGACCCTCTTCCTCCCTCCCTCCCTCCCTCCATCCATCCATCCATCCATCAGCCCAATAGCAAACCAAACCAGAACACAACTCCAACAAGTAAGCAAAGGAGAAAAGAAAAGCAAATGAAAAGAAAAATAGAAGAGCGGATAAAAACAGCAGACAAAACAAATCGGTAACGGGTAGGAAAGAAGGCGGGCCGGATGGATGGATGGAAATAAGTTATATACACGGATTCGTAATCGTATCGTGCTCGTGATATCGTACGGCCACTATTAAGTCCCCCCTTTCTTCGTCCTTCCCAACCAAGGATTTTCTGGGCACACGGGAGGACGGATGGAGGGGCTGGTTAAGTTATGATAATGTGATAGGAGTGAGAAAGGTAAGTAAGTTGTAAAGTAATGGTGGTAGCGGTAAGTAAAAATAAAAATAAAAAAACCGGCCCAGGAAAAACAAAAGAGGGGAAAAGGAAAAACTAATTTTTAAGCTCCAAAGAATGCAGGAATTATCGACTAATAGCCCACAGCCTACAGGCGAGAATCAAGGAAGTGGGGGAAGGAAGGAAAGGTAAAACGTAACTCGGTAGACAAAGCAAAAAAGCGAAATAGCAGCATAGAAAGTCAGCTGACAAGTAAATAGGCACCAATAGTCGATAACGTCTCCCCCTTTGCCCAACCCAATGCTAGAGAGGGGGAGATAAAAAAGTGAACCCAATCTAGGGCGCAGAAAATGAAATGAGAAAAAAAATCCAATCCAATCCAATCCGACCAGTGTGTGCGCGCATGCGTGCGAATTGGCTACAATGGTTCGCCGAGACAATAGGTGAGTAGATAGGTAGGTGGCAAGGTGGGTAGGGTAAAAGAAAAGGCGGGTAGATATGTAGAAAAGGGCGGTGACTCAGTACTGAATGTATATACGTATACACAAAAACACCCATCATCGTCATCGTTCTGTTGGACGTCAACTCAGAACGCTCGGCGCACCACGGCACCGGTGTGTGGTCACCGATCGTACCCGCCACCTCTCTCATGCACCGTTATCCCTTCGCGTACGTGGTGGTGGTGAATCATGTTCCCGGCTGCCGCAGGCCCGGGTGGATTCGTGCCAGGACCCTGTATGAAAAGGACCAAGAATTAGTCGATCGTCAGACGACATTGCGAAGAACAAAAGACTTGGGAGAGAACGGGGGGGGGTGGAAGGCTTAGGCTATGTATGTGGGCGCGGGCAAACCGGAAAAGGGGAGAAGAAGAAAGCGCGTGACACAGTAGAAATAGTGGGGTATATTATTCCGCGACTAAGGTTCGAGCATTTCTGTTCTGTCTAAAATTGTGGAAGAGTAGGAAAAAAAAAAGGATAAGAAGCAAAGGAAACATTTCACATGGTTAAGAGAGTATTAGTAACCTTCTTCCGCTTCTTTTTCCGCTTTTCTCCTTCCCATCCTGCGCCATCGACAATTGCTCCAGACCCTACACCAGACCCCGGACCATAGTTCCCACCACCTACTAGACCTCCGGCGCTGCCGTTCACACCATTATCGTCATCCCCGCCATCGGCACGCTTCCGTTTCGTGCGTTTGGGTCGATCGTCGCCCGCGGGGGATGGTCCCCCGGGTGTTGAACCATTGGCATGACCAGGGGTGCCTACAGCAGCGCCTATAGCAGGAGTTGTGGAGCCCACATACGGAGTTTTCCTCCTCTGAGATTCCTCGTCGAGTCCAAGGATGGAAGGATCAAACTGTATCAAGAGTACTCATTAGTAACCTTCTTTTCCCCTCGGAATCTCATGCCACTGCGGCAATTTTGAACTCAACGCACCCCCGGAATATCCCCCCTCCCCATGGACAACCCTTTCCTCAGCTTCCCCATGTCGATACCCTTGGAGGCCTCCTTCCCAATAACCTGCAAGTTGCGCCATTCCTCATCCGGAAACCCCAACAAAGTCGCAAAATAATCACCCCCACCGCCCCCAGCTTCTCCTCCAGGCTCTACTTCCGTCTGGGAAGCCTTTGTGACAACTACATTCTTGCCGGCCAGACCACCGAGGAACCCCTTAAAACTTTTTCGAAGTTTATTTTTCGCCCCGGTTGTAGGATTCTTTCGCGCTACCGAGTTGGCAATATCGCGGAGGCCGTACAAAGCGAGGAGATCATCTGTAAGATCAGGGTATGAGGGTTGTCGGGCTGCTGCGCGTTAATCCCAGTGTTCTAGCGCGCAAACAAAAACTTACCGAAAGTAGCTGGGGAAACAGCGAGAATAAGGGGGGGGGGGGACGAACGATTTGAGCAAACTAAATAGTAGGGCGAAACATCGGGCTGGGAAAGTAGCTCCTGCTCAGTGGGTATCGGAGGGGAGATGCCGTCGGGCAGGTCCCCTCGATGTCGCAGAGCGGGGGGCATAGTCTGCGAGGTGCGATCGTAAGAACTGCTACTGGTCCGGCGCCTCTTGTTCGATCCAGTGTCGCTTCCCTCATCCATCATCACGTCAACCTCGTTATCCTCAAAAGTCGCGGGAACGGTGTTCGCGGCAGAGCTAGCGGGGGTCGGTATGGTATTTGACGGATGGAGGGAACGCGAGCTCCCGGAGAAGGACGAGGTCATCGAAGAACTAGGCGGCGAGAGAGCTGAAGGGTGGTGATGGCTGAACTTGTCGGAATAATTACTGGAGGGCGCATGGTTTGAGGACATGTAGAAAGGGGGAGGAGATTGGGGCGTGGGTTGATCCAGAGCAGGTGTGGGTGGGTGGTGGTGTTGATGAGAGTAGAGGGTTGTCATACGCGACGATGGCGTTGGGGGAGGAGTGTGAGAAGAAAGTGTTGAACTGATTTTGGCGGATGAGGGGGACGGTGAAAGTCGGGACTTTCAACGTCGAGAACAACAAAGATGTTTCAAGTTTGGAAAGTTGGGCAAAGAGCCAACCTAGGAGAGAGGGTCAGGGGGTGGTTGGCGTGGGAAAGTCTTTATTGTGCGATAGGCTGAGCGTGGAGGTGAATGATCGGAGATTTCTATTGAACCAAACCCTGAACTATGGTCAGTTGAAATGGCAACATAGGTGGACGGACGGGTGGATGGGTATATGCGTGACGGGTTATGCTCGGGGTAGTGAGGAAAGAGTGCGAGAACAGTAGAGAGAGCTTGGGAGAGAGGAAGGGGAAAGTGGCGGGTTTGTCGATCGTGGATCGTTGCTAGGAGATGTTTTTGCTCGATGGGGATGATGTCGAGCCCTTTTTTCTTTTCTTTTTTTTCTTCTCTCCTTCCTTCGTGCCCTCTAGCTTTTCCCCCACCGCCTCGAAACCCCAGGTAACCCAAGGAGAGAAGTGGAAGGGAGGAAAAGGAAAAATGAACAAATAAACGAAAATGAAAATGAAAATGAAAAGAAAAAAAAGGAGAAAAAAGAAAAGTGAATAAACTCACGAGATTAGTGATTTATCCTCTCTTCCCCCTTCTACTTCTACCTGATATATCCCTTCCCTTTTTGCCTTTCCTCCCGAGCACAGAAATGATGGCGTATGTACCGTAAGAGAGCGAGTGAGCGAGTAAGTCGACCGTCCGAAATTTTAAACTTCTTGCCTGAGGCTCTTTCACAACGGAAGCGAAAAATGGTCCCCACTTTTCCGCAGCGAAAAAAGAAGAAGAAAAACTTTTTCCCCTCCCAGCTCTCTCTCCGTCCCTCTCTCTCTCACTCACGCTCTCTCGTCACAAAAAATAGTATCCTCCCGTCTTCCCCCCTTTTCCCCTCTATCTCTCTGCAACTAATTCCGATCCACTATACCGATAACACCTCCTTGAAATCTATTCCCCCCCCCACAATCCCTTTACAATCAACTCCACCCGGTTCCTTCTACCAATCCTTCCCGTAACTAATCCAAACGGTCGTAATATTTCCCCCCAATCGACAAAAACCGAACCGTAACTTCCAAACTAGGCGTGAAAAAATTAAAATTTTTTTTTTAAAAAAAAAAAAAAAAGTGTTTAAGCGGGAGCGGGTGTATCGGCTGTTTATGGCGGCCAGGTCAAAGGGAGTGCCGGAGAGGAATGGGTAAAAGCTCGGAAGGAGCGTGAACCGGGAAGTGGGTAGGTGAAACGAGTGGAGGAGTTGAAGTGGATGACGGAAGGGAGTCGCGTGTGGCGGCGGAATGGGAGGTGATTTTCCCTAGAGCGGCGGGCGGGAAGCGGTTAAGGTTAGGATGAAGGGTAGCCGTCGTCAAGGCAAGGAGGGGACGTGAATAATGGTGATGGTGGTGATGAAGGTGATGATGGTGAAGGGGTGGCAGGCGACAGGAGGGTAAAACGTTAAAAGGTGGGCTGGGCTGGGCTGGTAGCGTAGGGTAGGATGTGTACAGTAGAGCACTGGTACCGTAGTCGTTCACACAACGGGGAGGGAAGGGTTTCAAGGAAAAGAGTGAGCGGTGTGTGTGAGCGTGTGTGCGAGCGTGTGTGTGAGTGTGTGTGAGCGTGTGTGAGTGAGTGAGTGAGAATGTGGGAGAATGGAAGCGATGAACGGAGAGAGCAGAGAGAGAGAGAGAGGCACGGAGGCAGAGCAAGCGAAGGGGAGAGGAAGGAAGGGTAAGCCAAGTGCAGCGCCAGTTCCCCTTCACTCTCTCGGATGCGCAGAAGACGGTACAAGTACTGGTACGGTGCGGTAGACCACTGCACTGTACGGTACCGTACTGTACGAGTACTGTGCAGGGTAGGATACCGGTATGATACAGTGTACGGTATGCACGGCAGGGCACGGTAATCCCTTACCCGTACGGATTGGGAGGGAGGGAGGGAAATGGAGGGCTGGCCAGACCAAGTCGGACTACTCGCACGGTAAGGCGGGTGCGTGAGTGGGTGCAAGTTAGCTACAAGTATCATAGTGGGGTCAAGCGGCCGGCTTTGGGAGGCTCCCGCAGATTCACAGGAGCTTGAGGGTTCACTCGGCCTGTACAAGTATCATCCATCATAATACACATGCCGTTCACCTCACACACCACGCAGCAGCAGCAGAGGTAAGCAGCAGAGGTAACTTGCTGTAGAAGCGGCGGCAACGGGAGCAGGGAGGAACGAGGGCACCTGGAAGAGACAGGAAAGAGCAGCAGCAACGACAACCCGTCCTCGTCCTTTTAAGCGATTTACCTGTGCCTGTGCAGTCCTGTATTATACTAGTACTCTACTCGAGCACAGTCGCCCCGTACGCTTCCCACACCCCCGATTGGAGACTTTTTGTCGATGGAAGGGCGGGGCTTGCGGAGCACTTCCAGGAGCCCGTGCCGTATCATAGTGAATTTAACTGCACTCGCGAGCGAGAGACCGCAGTGCCGGTGGGTGTGGGTACGGTAGGGGCCATTGCGAGAGCAGAATGATTGGCGGTTACCGATAACCCTTTGGGCGCCCTGTTGTCCATGATTGCCGCTACCGGTATTATTACCAATTCTATTAATTCCTCCTACAAGTCGCACGAAACTCCCGCCGCCCCGTTCGTTCGCTGATTGCTATCACTATCAGTGTTCATATGGCACCAGTATGTCAACGGGCGGAGGTGGCTGACATTGACAACTCCGCACACCATCCCCCCCCCCCCCCCTTTCTTGCCTGCCTTGCCCTCTCCCTTCCACTCCCCCCATTCGATATCATGGACTGCGGCAACTTTACTATGCCCGGCTGGCCACCTTAGATTATCCATTGCCGTGCTTAGGCTCTCACTCTCAGCTACGCTTTGTTGCGCTTGACTCCTCCCCATGCTTCCCCCCCTCTTACCGGTAGCCATACGCAAAATCATTGACCGTATCATATCATACCATACTCGAGACCACGACACAACCCGGCCCCTAATCCAAACCCATTGAAGGTGAGAGAGAGAAGGAATGGATTAAAAAAACAAAAGAGAAATTCCCCAATCTGAACATGGATACGCCTTCCTTTACCAACAAAGCATACATTCACAAGGTGACACGTCCGAGGTCTTGCCCCACGATTCAAGCCCATCCGGGCGGCGGGCATGATGGTGCGGTACGGTGAGAAAAAAAAAATGAAATGTCACAAGAGGCACGTTACCCAAAGTCCGCATGCGAGCAGAACCAAACGTATAAATTTAAACCGGCGTTATCCCTCATTCACTTCCTCCCCCCTCCCTCCATCCCTCCATCCATCTCGAGTGGCCTGGAGTGAAGAATAAACGAAGGAAGGGGGAGGAAAAAAAAAAAAAGAAAGAAAGAACGAAAAAAGGTATGATGTAAGTGCAGCAGCACACAGCGCTCGGTACCGTGCGACACAGTAGGTCAGCTTGAGTCACCCACGGTTCGAATAGCAAAAACAGAAGGGAAAGGGAAAGAAAAAAAACCCTGCGCCTTGCACCAAGACCACACACACACTCCTTCTCAACCAGGCTCTCGTTTCAACGAATTCTTACAACACAAAGAGAGCAATAATCGAGGGACCAGGTGTTTGAACAACTCAGACAGACAGCTATCATATCGTAGCGTAATCCAAGGCCTCCTCTCTGCATCAGTCGATAGAGGGGAAGGGGGGAGGGAAAAAGGAAACAAGTATGGACGACGATTTGCTCGACGACGAAACCATGGCGGCAGCCCTGGATGCCGCTGAGAAGGCTTTAAACAGTTCTACCGCCAGTTCGTCCATGGCTCTCAGCCTTCCTCCTCCTCCTCCTCCTCCTCCTCCTCCTCCTGCCACCGTAGCTGGTGCCGCCGCCTCGGCCCCGATCCAGCAGCCAATCCCGCAGAAACTTCCCAGGGGAAGCTCGACAATACTCGTGTCGACCAGGCAGGTACGTTACCCGTTATCCAACTAACAACGATACCCCCAATTTGCTCCAACAATCTGAAAAAGAAAAAAGAAAAAAACACGTGACACAAACCGACTACCGCTAGCCCTTTGACTGACGACACCAACAGAAAGGCAATCCACTCCTGGCGCACATCAAGAACATCCCCTGGGAATATGCCTCCATCTCCATACCGAGTGACTACCTCCTCGGTGCCACGCCAGCCCTCTTCCTGAGTTTGAAGTATCACCGCCTGCATCCGGAATACATCTACACTCGAATCCCAAAACTCCCGCAAACGCCCCTCCGCATCCTACTGGTGCTGGTGGACATTGACACCGTCTCCACCACGGACCCCCTGAGGGAGTTGACAAAGACCAGCCTGATAAATAATCTTACCATGGTACTATGCTGGTCGGCACAGGAGGCGGGCCGGTACCTGGAAGCGTACAAAAGCCTCGAAAAGACCGCCCCGACGACAATCATGGGGCGGAAAGAGGAGGAATTCGGCGCGAGAATGGTGGAGTGCGTTACCAAAGTCCGTAGTGTTAACCGAGTAGATGCCGTTAGTCTCGTGGCGAACTTCGGGAGTCTCAGGGGTGCGATAAATGCCAAGGGGGAGGAGATGGGCTTGATTGCTGGGTGGGGGGACAGGAAGGTTGCAAGGTGGGAGCGTGCCGTTGGGGAGAGTTTTCGGGTGGGAAAGAAGTCGAAGGCTTCTACCACTGCTACTGCCAGAGGGGCCAAGGGGAGTACAGGACGAAGCTCTGTAGCTGCAAAGCTCGGCATCACAGGTCCTCCGTCCTCCTCCTCCTCCTCCTCCTCCTCCTCTGCGAAGAAGCCGGTACCAGTGCAATACGGAATAGAAGAGGAAGACGAAGAGGCGTTCATCGCCGTAGCAATAGCCCAGTTCGCCGCTATGGAGGAGGAAGAGCGCCGTCTCGCCTCCTCAAAAGGCAAAGAGGTAGCAGGAGTACGAGAAGACACCCCCATAGCCAGCGGCGTTATGGATGCCGTTGCGAGGTTTAGGGAACAGGGGTAGTCCGACTAACCCTCCCCGCAGGCGTGGGCCTGCGGATTACAGGTTGCAGTGCAGTTTTCTCGTTTATCTTGCATGTTGGGCTCGATAAGCCTATCAAGTGAATTTTTGAGCCGATTGGTGAGCTGCGTGAGTGGCTCGCTTGTCCGGGAGATGGCTACGAGGGATAGGGGTGGGGGTGATCCCCGCAACGTGTAGGTGTCAATGATGATTTGGGTGGTTTGGGGAGAGTGGGTGTATATGTATAGTTGGTAATTAGGATTATGGTAGCACTGTAACTTACTCTATCCGAGCCCATGGCGGAAGGTGACCCGCGCTTGCCGATTGTGCGAAGCTGCTGTAGGGCAGATTCCGGTGCATCTCCTGAAGCTCCTAGGAGAACATACGGTAATATACTCGAGACTGTGGTTCCCGCATAGCTACCCAACTCCACACCCCGAATTGCTATCATTGAGAACCAAGCCGAAAATCCTCTTTGCTACTTGCCCAATTACGATACTGCTGGAATATAATGACCGCGTTTCCCGGAACTGCCCACACAATCCGCCCCTCCCATATCCGCAATCAACCACCAGTGGAACACCAACCCACACCCAAAAGCCCCCGTCCCCCCACCCCACCCCCTAGACCACCACTCCCACCACAGCACAGCACAAGAAGACGAAGTACACCCACTGGGCTCCTTACCCACCTACCTACAGCCCCAGGCACCACACCCGACACGGGAAGCGAGTTCGGCTATGTATGATAGCGGGGTGTCCACGAATTCTTTGCTCGCGTCCGGCCCGATGAAGGTTTTCTAGGCTCTAGGTTCCCAACGAACGGATGGATGGATGGGACCCGGGGTTTTGGGGGGGGGGGGGGAGGCCATCGAGTTTTTGGTGAGTGTGTATTTGCATCTATGATACCGGTATCATATATATATATATACAGTTACGGTAGCGAGATATCGCATTGCGCTGTCTCTACAGGCGGGTGCACCTTAGTCTGTGAATACAATACAGTAGCAAGTATGATAGCAGTGGTGGTTAGTTCGTACACCCTTTCCCGAACGCACGCGAACATTTTCAGGAATGTTGTGAGATATCGCCACATTCTCGTAAAATGGTTTACTGAATATGATACCTGATGAGATAGCATGTTTTTGTTCTTTTTCCACAGGGTATGATAGAAGTAAAAGAATGCCCCCCCCCCCCCAAAAAAAAAACCCCATCTAAGAATTCGCCGCGAAAGCCCTAGCAACCAGCCCCGTATCCAAATACGCCGTAACCCTAACAACCCTCCTATCCCCCCCAAATTTGACGATCCAAGCATAAGTGTTTGGAAAATCCATCCCTGCGGACAAAACAATTCACACCAACTTATAATTAGCCCTCGCCAGACAAAAAACGGACAAACAACACATGCATGACACGATATATCGTATAGATAGATAGTATCGAAATAACCCGGCCCGCTCACCATTCCGACACCGTCCCCTCCCCCTTAATTCCACCACCGCCCACTCATCCATCCCGCCTCCGTGCACGTCGACGACGTCGAGAACGAGCCCATCGTCGTCCAGCACGGAATGCAACTTGTCGTAGGCGCAGCGCAGGAACTCCTCGCGCGTGCGCCAGTGTCCGGCGAGCGGGTAATCCACACCCATCGCCGTCCAGTCCACGGTCTCGGAGACGTGTTCGTCGAAGAAGGTCCCGAAGCTGCTCCGTTGGGAGAGGAGGGCGAAGGCGTGTCGGATTTCCGAGGGTGTCGGGTAGGGGGTTTTCGGGAGGCGCATTTTCTTTCTTTCTTTCTTTCTTCCCTTCTTTTCTTCTTTTCTTCTTGCCTCTTCTCTCCTCTTGCAGTGGTTTTTCTTTGGTGGTATGCTCTGCTTTGCTTTGCTTTGATATGGAGTTGTAGTGGTGAGAAGGTGGAGTCGGGGTTATATGTACTGCGCTTTGGGGATCTTCCCCGCTGAGCACCGAGTAGAGTATGTATGCGCCGCTTCATCGTCGCGTAGATCTCTGTGACGGACCTCTTGGTCCCCCATTCAGTTAAAAAGTATCCGGTCGTTTTGTCGCGGGATATCCGAGTGTGGTTGTCTTGTTACCACAGGGTCTTTTTTGTTTTTTTCCCCCAAAAAAAGGGAGGGAAGAAAAGAAAGAAAAAGAAAAGAACCCGATAACAGTCCTCACTGGCATGACAAAGTCAAGTTCCCATCGAGTGATCTCTTATGACAACGCATTAATTACTCTCCATCTCAGCATCCGCACTGCCGCTGCAAATAGCCATTCCAGCACGCTCCAGCAATCATCATTAAAACATTACACTACCACCCCCTCAATTCCAGACTCCACTGTAGTCCTACTATTCGACCTCGACAATCAGCCTGACTGTGCCCTGGCATAACTTCACGTACGCCTCCAAATCGCTCTGCGAGTTAAGGTTCATCTTCAACCCATCCACTTTCCCGAAAAGCCTCAACTCCAGGAGATTCCAGTGCGACCTCGCCTGTCTCTGCAATCCTTCAAAGCTAGAGCTAATACTCGCCGGTCGAATTTCGACCCCCGCGTCCACCGGAGAGCGTCTGTAGACCATTGCAAATATTTGCCTTGTCGCTGGCGCTGGAGAGGCGTACCGTTGCGGGACCTGCTGTGGAGCTGGAGGCGCAGGCGGAGGAGCGGGAGCCGCTGGCGGTGCGGGAATGGGGACATCAGAGTCGTAGTCGTAGCCCCTGTCTTCTCCCCCGCCCCGCAGCGGATTCGGCCTATGCGGCCCCAGCGGTGGTGGATTCGGTGCTGGCGGGGGAGCACGCGGAAACCGCTGGTATGAGTTGCGACGGGGAAGAGAAGGTTGGGCGTCTGGTTCCCTGTCCGGGAAGTACGGGCCCGGGTTGCGGTATCTCGGTGGGGACCTATCCGGCTCTGGATCATCCTGGAAGCGCACCGTTGGTTCGGGTGCGGGTGGGGGGTTACGTGAGGAGGTAGGTGCTCGGGGGCGATGGGTTGACTCGTATGCAGGGAAGTCTGAGGCACGCTGAGGAAGGGCGGAGATTCCTTGGCGACCCTGCTTTATCTGTTGAAAACGGTTAACTTACACCCTCCCCTGTGATGGGGGACACGGGGGTGGGGATAAGGGTTAGGGTAAGATATTCAACTGTACCTTTCTGACAAAGTGCGCTGCTCGAGCAACTGCATCGTATCCGGTCACAAGGCACCACATATGCAATTCCTGGTTAAGTTCCTGTTTAAAGGCATGAATATGCTCTGGATATCGTGGGAGCCCTTCGTCCCAAGTGTAATACTAAAGGCATACCAGATATCAAGTTAGATCTCTTTTCTTTTTTATGATAGTAGACTACTTAACATGAACGGCCCAATAGCAACAAAGGACGTACACACCTTCCGCCTAAACTGCCTCCGAAAGAAGACTGATATACTCCCGTCTTGGTTATCCTTTAGGAGGAGTTCCTCCAGCGGCACGAGCATGCCTAACTTCATGGGACCCTCGAAAGAAACACATTCCGCCCTGCGAATGAGAAATGAATACTTGAGTTACCCAAGGCTCCACCAACCACCACCACCACCAACCAAACATCACTAGAGGACCATGAAAAGCAAAAGGAAAAGCAAAAATAAAATAAAAACACAAAACGGCTCATCCCATAACTAGATCCGAGACATTCACCTTCCATCCGCTCGCAAGTGGAAAAAAAAAAACTCTTAAACTCATAAACCTTAAACCTCCCCCCCCCCCGCTCGTTGCCTAAAGAAAGAAAGGAACCAACAACTCACTCAGTATGATACCTCAACTTCAACCCCCCTCCCCCCCACGGCTCCCCGTACCCGATCCTGATACTCAAGAGCTCAAGCTCAGGTCCATCAGAACTAAGCATCTGCGGTAACGGATCCCAAGCCGGCGCTCTCCTCCCTCCACCCCTACCACCGACACCAGTGCCCGATAACCCAGGTCCCACGGGGACCCTGACTCTTCCCCCGTTCAGCATGACGACTCTCCGATCCGATCCGATCCGATTCCGATCGTTCGCGCTCCGGTCAGCGAGCCAGCGAGTGCGGGCAGTTCGAGATGTCGGCGACGATTTCGGTCTAGCTCGACTCGACTCGACTTGACTTGACTTGACTGGAGTGTGCGATGTCGGCCGGGCCGACAGGCGGTACGGTAGTAATCGTGGGTGGGTGTGTCGCCTACCTGCCTGCCGCCTCCCCTACTAGTGCGCACGTATATAACGTTATGCCTGATCGCGTATTGTGGTAGTCTCTATCGCGAGTTCCGTCGGATGTAGGTGCGATAGCGGTAATAAAAATAAAATAAAATAAAATAAAATAAAATAAAAAGGAAGGGCCATGGCTAGCGCTAAGGGGACGACGGTATGGTGACCGTATGTATGATTCCCAGAGTTACAGCCTGATCAATATGTATGTGCGAGCATATGTGTGTGTGTAGGTCGCGAGACAGTTTTTGGCGGGGGTGGGGGGGGTACACTTTGGTATGCATTGGCACGGGTATGTATGCTACGGTGCCCGTACTGTAGACTACTGTACAAGTACAACACAGCAAGCGAGCAAGCGGGCGGGCTGTCTACACTCCACTTCGTACGCCCAAGCTGCCACCAGAACGACGATAATGGGTGGGCCTGGAAGGATCATGCTTTAACTGTATGTATGGAAAAAGGCCGGGGATTGGATAGTGGACCATAAAATCACTATACCAGGGATTCCCTTTCCCTTCCCTTTCCCTACCCTTACTTGCACAACCCCCCCGCCCATCTACGATCACCCACACACTGCCCCTCCAATGAGCAACGTGTTCCTATGAGTAGATCAGGATGGGGAAGAAGAAGAAGAAAAGGGGGGGGGACAAAGGAAACGTTCCGTAGATCGGAGAAAGGATAAGGTCGGGAAAATGCCTTTTTTCTTTCCCCTTCACATCCGAAAACAGGTAGGAGGGGACGTTCCCCCATGATGTGTTCTGCTACCGCCCGATATATCGTAGTAAACACCGATCTAGTGGAATTATGCTGGCTCGTAACTTTGTGCGCCCGGGCACGGTTACGATAGATGGACAGAACAATCAACGAAAACCTTAGGTCGCTACCGTATGGTTACTTGTACCATACTCGCTATTTTGCTTTTTCACCCACAGCCCTATGATGGACACTGTTTCAATTGTGAACGGAGCTCTGTTGGGGGGAGGTAGGAGAGTTGTAGACTCTGGTGATGAACGTCTAACCCACAGTACAAGCACGATAAACCACAAAGCCTTGTTGAGAAAAACAAGGCTCCAGGATGAATTGTTCTTCCTACAGTAGGAAGGCTGTTGTCCACTGCTTGTTAGTGCTTGACGAGTGATTGCTCGTGACCGTAGCGGGATAACACCGAGGCCTAAAAGTCAGATTGCGCCCTCTTTGTGAATGCGCAGAACCACAGCAAGTTAGCACTGATTAGAAGGGCCTCTCCACAAGCTAGCTTCGGGAAGGCTCCCGGATCACAATTGCGATACCATAACGCTTCTATAACGGGAGCTGTGTCTATATCTAAATTCCTGTAGGTCGAATGGCATGCGAGCATGCACCAGACTGATGGGCCAGGGACCAGCCCCCGCCCGACCACAGGAGCTGACAGCCGACCTACTTGTAAATGTCCCTATTACTGATTTTGAAAGAAGAAAGAAAGACAACAACAAGAAGATAACCGGAACTTCATATTACCACGCAATGAGAAGAGTAAACCCGAACGATACAGCAAACCTTATATAGAATTAAGAAAGAAAAAAAGAAAAACAAAGAAAAGCAAAACAGAGCACAGTAGCAGAGCAGAGCAGAAAACTCTGGCCATTTCCCCGTCTTCTCCAGGTTTAAGAACTCAACAGGTCTTTAACGCTCATTCCTCTACTACTGCTGCTACCGGCGCTGCAAGGGCTGTCTCTGGGCTCGTCGTTACCGCCCATCCTTCTATCAGCCAGCAGCAAGAGTGCGTGTGTCGCTTCGGTGTCTACCGGATCATGCTGGTGGCCCTGCGGATACACCACCGGGGATTGGGAGACCTGGCTTGGGGCAGGTCCGCGGGGGGGGTAAAGGCAGGGAGAGACGAGCATGGAAGGCGTGAGGCTGGAGGGAGCAATTGACTCGACTTTTTCAGCTTGCTTCTCCTCTTCTTCAACTTCTTCTCCCTCCTCGGAGTCCTCCTCGGAATCTCGCTCTTCACGATTTCGTGGCGGAGGGGGGAGCATCAGAGCATGTGCCTCGTCGAAATTGGACGAGGCAGCATTGGATGCCCTGAGATCCTCAACACATCTTTCGAGATATCTCAAATATTCAATACTCGCCTAGGAATATAGTGAGCCTTTTGCCACATTTCGCATTCGCAGCAAGAACTTTGGAGAAGATTACCTGAAGAATTGCGAGTTTATGCATTTCCACACCCTTGCATGCGGGTATCATCCCCTTTAACACTCCAAACTCCTCGTTCATCTTAAACCTCCTTCTCCGTTCAATCAAGCTGTGTGCCGTCTTTCTCGCAATTTTCCTTCCGACAGCCGTGGTCGGCTTCTCGTCATCCCCTGGCTTATCTGCCTTTGCTGCCGCCTTCCTTGGCTTTTTCGGCTCCGGGGGAGTGGACTGGCCTGGGCCATCGGCGCTGCTTGCACTAGATGAGGAGGACTGTCGCGGCCGCATCTGGATAATTTTCCGGGGCCTCGATGGAGGCGGGGGCAGAGCAATTTCCTTAGCCCTCCGCTTCTGCGCTGGTGGTTGTGGTTCCGGCTTCCCAAGGGTCGAGGAACGGCGGCGTTTCTTTGGAGCATCAGCAGGGGTATTGTCTCTCTCTGCGATTCCGGGTGACGTTGGCGATAATGGCTGATAACTATTCGAGGACGAAGATGACGATGAGGATGTCGAGGCGGACGAATCAAAATAGCAAGTTGAAACCGCCTTTAGATCGGAGGGAACTATGGCATCTAGAGCAGGCGGAGGCAACGAAAAGGACAGCTCAAGCCCAGAGAGCGGCGGGGCAGATTTTGCAGTTATATCGGTGGACGGCTGGGGAGTCGGGGGCAGTATTGTTCGTGACATTTTGATATCGTGATATGTGAGAACCTTTGACGTAACGAGGATGAAGGAAAGGTTGATTGTGGGCCTCGGAATGAAACAAAAGGGTTTGAAAGAGTATGAGAGGTGAAGTGTACCGTGGAGAATGCTACCTTAGATGGATGGAAAGGGTAGGAGGGGTTATATGATGGTGATGATGGGGGAGTCTCCCTGCTCTCCTACGCACAAGCTTTTTGTTTCAAGAGTGCAAAGGCACGAGCTCAATGCCACTGGCGGGCAGAAATGCGCGGCAAAGGCTTATGCGAAAGGCCTCACAAAGATCGAGTACCGGAAGGCACCAGCATAAGCACTACCGTACCACTGTTATAATAGGCAAAGTGGAGGGGAAAAGATGGGGTAGGGGCAGTGATGGAAGAGATCCAGTCTTCCCCCACCAGCACTTCCAGTGTCAGCACCCTCATCGCCCTTCGCCCTTCCGCCATTCCTTTCCTCTCCTCCACCCGAAAAACGCACCAGCACATCAACGAACGTTGCCTACTATTCCCGACAAAAAAGTACGTTTTTTCGTCGTTGGATTCGAAAGGGGGTGTTGTGTCGCGTGCCCGTGGGGAAACTGATAGGCTGCCGTCAACTTTCTTGTCAACGAGCCTTGGTGTGTGAAGCGACCGCGTGCTCCGTTCTCTCCTCTCATTGGTCCATTCTTAGTGGAGTCGCGTGCATCGATTCGAACTCAGATTGGACGGTTAGAAATTTCCCGCAAGCGGAACCATCGGCTCGTTTTCGGGGACGTCCTTAGTAACCTTGGCTAATTAATCTTACCCCTGAGGAGAGTTACCCGGACCCGAGCGACAGCTCGAGAGCCAAAGATTGTACGAGTACCGTGCCGCAGAGCCCATACCGGTATGCGCGATCGGACTTGGGAGGGCTGGGTACTCGACATTACGAGTAGAAAGGGTCGAGTGGCGTTTGGCCTTTCTATAATATCGCAATCGTTTATTCACCTGAACGTTCGAGCCCGTTTTGATTCTGGTGCCCTACGAAGGGCACCCTTCGAGCTTGTCGTGCGAAGCCTACCCTAGGCCATCGGATGCTGGGAGCGCTCTGTCGAGATTTTGATAAGCATAAAACTCATGCGCACCCTTTTTCGCCCCTCCCCCGCGCGGCCAGCACTCCGTCTTCAGTCCCCATCCCACTACTGTCTTCCTTTCTTGCCCCGATCTGTGTTCTTCGTGTATGTAGCATACGGCAACTCAACCATTATGCTTGATCTACACGTGCCCTGCTGGCACTACCTACCAGGAGCGACGCAATATACTGTGACCAAGACGAAAGCCTCCACTCTGACTCCGGGAGCCCCAAAAAAGACAAGTGTAATTCCTGCGGCACGGTGACCTAATATTTCGGGCTCTACCCAGAGGGGTGAATAGGATGTCGAAGAGTAGTGGCGAGTATCATACCACACATACCGGCAGAGTCTTTGGATCCAATTCAATTAAAAGACGAGTGATTATTGATGACTGATCTGGAATCACCCGACGCGCAGCCATCCCAATAGACACGTGCGCCCATGGGAAAGGTTGAGAAATTTCGCCCCACAGTGGTGGGGACTGAGTGTTGACGGGTCTGCCGCCTGTACGAGTACTCGAGTAGATAGGCGTACCGGTACCGGTAGTCATGGCAGCTATTTCATGAGAAAATGACCTATCGAATTACCGGCCGGGTGATGCATGATAGCAGATAACCTCAGGATTCCACGATCAAAGGGACACCTTGTGGGATACGGTACGGTAGAGTGGTTGACGGAGTTTAGCGAACCGTGATATGATACCTGTAGAACGTGGGGGATAGTCAGCCCCCAACCCCTAAAGTGGTGGGGTTCGGATGCAAGCAAATCGTGTCCCGAGATGCAAGGGTACTCTAGAACAGGCAGGGCTTTCCATGGTTGGGGCCGGCCCGATGGTTTTTACGGTGCCGGGAAAGAATCCCTCCGACAGAGACGACAGCTTTCCGAGGAATTGACTTCTGGAAAACAGTCCGAAATAATATTTTTCGAGAGTCGGAATATGCAGGGATCGAGTGACTATGGAAGTGATATTGGCAAGGGGTGCGTATGGGTGGCTGTGGGTGTACCATGCCAAGATTTTGCATCATGAGGTTGGAGGCTGGGAAAGCAGGAACTTGGAGAGAGCTTTGGGCGTGGGGCTGCTTGCCCTGTTGCGTGTTCTTTGCCTTTTGGTTTCCTTTGGCCTGCGATGTTCATTGGCTCGTGTACTGTGAGTACTGGGGCAAACTTGAGCCCACGACGGGGAAGTATGATATGATACTGGCACTCGTGATGAGAATGTTCGGGCGCTTACATACTCGAGTACTGTACCGAATACAGTACATGGTGAGCATCATACCGTATGCAGCATAAGTTATATTCCCCGCTTGGCCTTTCGATTTGGTATCACGGATACAATCTTCTTGCAAGCCTGAAGGGAAGGCAGAGATTAAATTCGCACCAACGCAATAATATATCGGTGCGAACGTTCTCCCATGCCATCCTACTTTAAAAAACCTTTCGTATACTCTTTGACGCGCCAAATGGCCAAGCATGGCTGATATGAGTATGCTCTGTTGCATTTCTGAGCCCATTTACGATATCATTGGGTATTTAGCATCGGCGCTGTCTGCACGGGGCTATAAAGTCTGCGCCTTAGGGTAACATTAATGCTGAAATCTACTGGATTGGCCGGGGGAATACGCGGCATGGGTGGAGCTACGTGGGCATTCACGGAAGAAGGCATGAGTGCCCAATCGCTTCATTGCCGTTCTGGATCATTACCCAGGAGTGCCATCCTATTCGTCACCTGAACCACCAATTCACCTACCCCTTCATCAATATCAAGGTTTAAAAACCTCCTCATCCCCTCCTGGGAGGGTGGTGAAGGGCTTACCGAGGCAACAGCTCCATCTTCCCCAACGCTTCGAATCACATGCCACCATCCCTTGGGAATAAATAGCCCATCTCCGGGCCCAACCATTACTTCGAAACCGGAAACCCCATCTTCAGCCTCATCCTCTGCCCACACCACCTTTTCGAGTATCCCTCTGTGCTTGCCGTCCATCATTTCATCCGGCATGCGGAATCTCTTGACACCACCACCAAACTCCTGCATTATCCCTTGGCCAGTGCCTGGTTCGAACAGCCTGATCCTCTTTGCACCCGCCAGCTGCACAAAGAGGTTAGGGTTAGGGTCCCTGTGTAAGGGTGTAGCTATCAGGGCAGCATGGCCCATCCAAAGGTTGACGTCGTATATGTCTCCTTCGCCAGCGCGGATATATTGCGGAGTCGGTAGCGTATCCCTCAGCTCGGGAATTTCGTTGATGGGGCATTGAGCGAGATAGGTTGTGATGCTTCGATCCCGGGGACCGACGAAGGACATGTCTTCAAGAAGCTTCGCGAAGGGGGCGTGGATCTGGAGGAATTTTCCTTCAGAGTGGAGAGACACCTCCATCAGCAGAAGGGCATTGATTCGGTCGCCGAGTGTTTTGTGGAAGAATTGGGTGTTCGGAGCCTGGAAGCGTGGAGATTTGGGGTGTGGGATGAACCATTGGGATATGGCGGGGAGAGTGGAGGTGAAATGGGATGGTGGAAAGGCGCATGGAAGGGCGGGACTGAAATAAGAATCCCGAAATGTAGGAAGGGTTAAGGGGGAGAGGATAGGGAGCGGAGATATTCGAAGTGGTACAAGAGGATCGCGAGAGAGTCTGGAAGAGCCAGCGATGGAGCGGAGATTCGAAGGGGGCCAAGGCTTCATGCTTGCCTCTTAGGCTTGGTGCCTACCGTAGCAGTGTTCAGGATCAAACATGAGGGGCCAAAACCTTTAGGTTGAGGCTTTGTTGTCCCTAACATTAGCTTGGCGCTCGGGGTGATGAGGCTGACGGTAGCGGAGCAGACGCGCAAGACTTGGCAACGCCGCCATCGTGGGGCTTGACTCTGGCAGGGAGAAAATATCTCATTCACTCACAGTAAATGTACGAGTAAATTACTGTACCGATGCTTGCACCGTACCGGTGACTGATTTTACTACGCACGGGCGCTAAGTCAGGACCCACGGTGAAGTTGCATGTCTGGCGCCATCCCTGGACCGCTACCTCACAGTACCGGTATCGCTGAACTAGAGTTGGACCATACTTGCGGGGATAGTGCTATTGCTGTTTGGGCATGCTGAGTTTGGTGAGGGGAGAAGGTCCCTCTCGAGCTCCGTAGACTTGGTATTGGTATGGAGTCTGGAGGTGGAAAGCTAAGGGTTTATCCCACCCCCGTCTGTCTTACCGGTACATACTTTCTTGCCTGTATCGTTGGGTTGAGAATAATTCTCGACGACAAACGTCCGCCGCATCACATTTTGCACAAGTCACCCTGGGAAACGGGGCATGGCCCGATGTTGGGCCGCAGGCACGAGTGGATCGTGCGAGGGCTCAGCGAGGCGGCACCCTCGGCGCGGGATTGCAGGTCTTGGCATCAACTGAAACCCACATCTAACTTCGCAGTATCATACCACGGCAATCTTTTTTCTTTCTTTAGATTGTTCCCATGCCTGTATGATACTCACCCCGGGGTTTCGATATTTTTGAGGGGCATAAATAGCTAAAAAGTGATTTATGTGGAAGACAGAATACCGGTGCGGTACCGTAGCATGTTCGGGCGGCCCAGCCTTGCCTTGCATTCAATGACTAGGTTCGCTTTGCTGTCTATTCCGGGGTGCCGGGATTCTCCATGCCTGGCTGAGGGTACTACGGTATACAATACCAGCGGTTGTACGAGGCTGGCGATAACAAATATGGGCAGGATGGCATGTGACAATCCAAACCTGAGCCGTGCTATTTCAGGCTTCCCGTTCAGTGTGTTCTAAAGCTGTAGAAAAAAAAATTAAAATTGATAATATGGTCCGGAATTATTTCACTACTACCGGTATGATACTTGGCAGACAACTCGTGAGGTTGGAGTTCGGGAGAAACAACAACCGCCAAGCCAGTCCATTCCCCACAATGTTGCGATAAAATTACGGAATCCTCGCATACGCTGTGGTTCATCTTAACTTGCATAGAGATTCCTACTCATCATGTGTGGAAGGTCATCATACTTCTACACATACTGATTGCTATAGATCCTTGAATTCTTTCTGTTGCAGAAGCTGTACTATTTAGGGGGGCTGATGGGACCCCTTCAGAGAAGAGAGAATTTTTTTTTTGAAGGGAAGCAGACAGACCTTGGTGAATTGAGAAGTGACTCTGTCCTTAGCAGGTGGAACATCAAATCGAACCTTTTTTTGGTTCTTTTCCTCTTCAAACCTGGTGATCTTAGATAACCAGTGAGTGCCCTTGCTGTTTACAACTGACAAACCCACTGTGCCGGTGACCCGTCAAGGAACGTCGGCATCGTCTGCCGAGAAAAAACCCGAAATCCAGGGAAAATTGTTTTCACATGTAGGCGAAAAATTAGTTTTCCGATCGCTTCACTTGGATCGATACTCGTAGTTAGTGGTAGGCAGGAAACAGAATATTTCAGTTTCAATGGAAAAAAAAAACCCCCCTTACTATATGTATGATACACCGCTCGTCCTTTTTGTCGCCAGCCTCGTACAGCACAGTACTCGTACAGTGGGGCGCTGCGCACTTTACACGATCTAGGTTCCAAAATCTTTTTGTATGATATCATACCAGTACGGTGCGGTGCGGTACCATACCGGCATTGTGCGAATTTAGTGAATCGTGTCTGAGATGGGCATTATATGAGTAAATTATGTCATATCATACACACACCCCAAAACCTGAAAGAAAAAATAAATAAAAATGAAGAGGAAACAACACACACCGCATGGTCTAGGAGTATTTTATTGTAGCCTTCCTTCCCATGATTGGTTTTGGGTTTTCCCCCTTACTTTCCGGTTGGTTATGATACGATTGTACAAACTGCCGTAATCGAGGTATCGTGCTGTATGCAGTACGAGCGCAGTCTACCAGTACGGTACGATACTAAAGGTCAGTCAGACGGTGGAGGGCCCCGTGGACAGAGGGGGGCTTCAACGTTGACTTACCTTTCTTCCCTTCTCCTCAGATCCATGAGCGAGGTGTTGTGATCCGGGCCGAAAAACATACCGGGGTTGGGATGCACATTAGACTAACTTGCGTTATGTACAGTATGAGTACATCAGGGTATCCGGGGCGGATCACGTTATTTGGCGATTGCATGCGGTAGTTTTTCGCATGATCCACGGGTACTGTACAGTACTCCACAGTAGGCTTAAGTGTTCCGCAGTAAGGAACTAGCCCGTCATAAGATTCTCCTCTTCCCCCCCAGGTGTTTTGTTCATTTGTTGATGTTGATCGGGGGATGGACACTCCTGCTGGGCTTGGTGTGCTGTACAGTATGAGCTTGGTGCCAAAATTCGCTGACCTCCCCCCCCCCCATTTTACCCCAAAAATGGGGTATTTTCACGTTGCGAAACCTCAAGCCTATCACTCCGAAAAAAATGGGAAAATTTGGAAGGGACCTTTAGAGCTATCTAGATATTATTACCTATAGGTGACAAGCTTTGTTAGTAAATGTCCATGGTGCGATACCAGAAGTGTCGATGGTGAGCAAGTGGTACCTACAATTTTATATGAGGTTGCCATATAAAAAGTACGTTGCAACAGTATCTTATCTGGACTCTAGGCTCTCAGCTATCATGATAGAACAGGAAAATTCTCATAATTTTTACCCAGAGAGTCTAGATAATTACCTACATTGTGACATTGGTTTCATTAATTCTGTATTTCTTTCAAATCTGTTTCTAGTGTTTGAAATCAGCCATTTTTGGTGTAAAATTGGGGGGGAGGGGTCAGCGAATTTTGGCACCAAGCTCGTACTGTACCTGTACAGTATAGCGCTGTAAAGTGCGGTACTCGAGCGCTGTGCGGTACAGGACCCTACCAGTAGCTGCACTTTGAAGCCTTATCGGGAGCAATGACTCGACCAGCCATTGATCCGACAGGCCCCAGATTAGCAAATGGCTACCTGCATTTGATTTCCTGGTATGCGAGTGGGTGTCACTGTCACTGGGTTTTAAGATTGCACCCCCCTTCCCCCCTGTGGCTTGGCCTTGGAAAATCCACATAACATACTCGAGGAGATGTTCCTTCCTTCGTTCGTTTCTATTCTCGTTGAATGTGTCGAATAGACCCTTTAGAATACCCGGGTACCGTAGTCAGTGGAACGCTAACTAACAGTACAGTACTACTCTGACGATTGTATCCAGCGCGGTGCAGAGAGGACAGAGGTGGGGGGGGGGGTGCCCATTCTCCGGAGCTCAGTGCCAGATCCAGATCACAAATCGTGGGTTCCGAGTGATTCCTTATGAAATCGCACCAGTTCTGTCATGGTTAATAATATCATGGGCCCTCGATGTCTCCCGCACCTTGATCGGTTTTTCTGCCGGCCGGCCTTCTAAAAAAAAAAAGGGCGGTACAGAGTTACATTCTCACGAGCATATTTTTGGAGAATAAGTTGCGGGGATGGGGACGGCTCTAGCGATTAATTATCAAGAACTCTTATGGTCTACCTCTTTTGGTCTACATATAAGGTATTGGCCGGACTGATTGGACCGGAGAGGAGGAGGAGGGAGGGGGGGGGGCCTACTCCACGCCTTGGAGTGCTGGAATAAGTGGCTGTCATAAGTGACCATGGAGTTGCCCAGGGCTCCGGATCTGAGAGTTCGGTGCTAGGCCCTTCTGCGTCGAACTCCTTGGTGGTGATCTAAGACCAAAGCCTCACGACTTGCCACCCATTAGGCCCGCAGCCGATGCTCGGTTGCAAATAAGTGGCAAGTGTTCTGGAAATTCACACAGTTGGCCCCTCGCCGGTATCTGGAGCGGGAAGGAGACATCTCAGGCTATTTTTATCGACAGCCATGTCTAAAGGTTAATCTACTTTCTCAGCTGACGGTCGAAACACCCTTTACGGCAGGTGAGGCTGGTGTGGCAGGAGAGAAAAGGGCTTTAAGGGGGGAACTATGATGTCTCGAATGGTCAATCCTGTGAGTATAATATCACATGTTTGTTTTAGGCCATCTCGTGAAACGGAAGAAAGCCTATGGCCCTATGTCGAGTGATAGAATATGATGACTAGCTTCAGGAGCTGCCACTAGGAACCAGCCCCAATATGAACACCTTTCAGTGCAGTGTTCAGGTTACCTAACTACAGCCATGGGGAACTTCGCTCTGGCCAGCGGGAATGGCAAGGATTGGCTCTGGGGGTTCGAAGAGCGCAAAGAAGGCAAGACCAGAGGGCGGTCCGTCCATATATAGTGGAATTATATTTGTGGGTGATACCACCCATCTGTGTTCGGGGGAGGGGGGGGGAAGGGGGTCATTCGGGGACAAAGCATCCAGGAACGACATAATAGGAGGTAGAAGGCATAAATCAAGGTGGGAAATAGCCCAATCTAGTGCGGGTTGGTTGTGATAATGAGAATTTCCTCCAAACCTCCGATTGTCACTTGTTCAATTGGGAGCAACTTCGGACTAGCTGTTCTGGGTTTTTGACTATTGTAACATTGTATTTCTTTCCAGACAACACAGCCGTCAGACAAGGTAATCCCTCCAGTGTTGCCCTCTAGCCTTCAATGACCCCCCCGAGCCTTTAGGGGACCTTGTTCCTTATAGGTGAGCGCAGTTGCAGAGGGGCCCCGGAGAATGGGCTCCAGGTGGGCGATTAGCTGTGTTATATCACTGCTTAGGTTATTTGGGTGACGTGGAGGGTTTTCGCTCGACTGCCCAAACCGCTCCTTCAGAGCTTCATCCGTGGGTGGACCGAACGCAATCATACCATGGCCACTGAGGGACTGGATCGGGTGAGGCTTGGTCTGGCCTGCGGAGTATATCAATCAAATGAACCCTATCGGATAAATGAGATGGTTCGCTCTGTCAATCTAACACATTGGGTGAGGCACGACTCAAGCCCGGTTACACCCTTTCCCATGATCGGTGTTGTTATGAACTTGGAGTGCAATAAGATACTCTGTGGGCATGGAGGTAAGTATAAGCCCAAAAATACTCCTCCCGTGTTCCAAGAGATCGAGTAGTGGGGATGGTAAGGGGCAGGATATTCCTGAGAAAGCATTGGAGTGGATACACTGCACGAGCAGTCTCGAGAGCTATTTTGGCACGGCGGGAGGAGGACAGGAGACCGATATGACATGGCACAGCACTTGTGCGGGGAGATATTATACTCGACCATGTTTTCCTTCAGGCGACCAGTGGCAAGGAATAAGTGGATAGCGACCGGTGAGAGTCGCGGGCCATTGCGAACAGGTTGGGCGCACTTTGTCCAATATTTGGTATCTCATGGATAAATGCACGAACATGAGAGGGAAGCATCGAAATCTCGAACCCACTACCGGTAACTCGGTACTATGCCCCACCGGGTAGACCGGTTGTGTTGGGTTTTCCTGCACTCGGCACGGGCTATCAATTTGGGGGGATCGCAGCACCGGTATGGTTCCTGTGCAGATGAGTTACATTATTCCTTCGAAATAGCATCGGGAACGCCGAAGACTTTCGGCGTCGCCGATACTGAAGTTGCGTATTCGTGCAGCTCTGTGAGAGTCTCTCAAGCATTTCGCTTACACTCCCCGCCTTAAAGTTGCCTAAAATGGGAAGGTTCTGCCCATCTCTAGTGCTGATAATCGTACCCCATATTCCGGTGGTAGGCCCACCGGCGCGGAACCTGGAAAGAACGCGGAGGGGGGGAATGGCGTTTCGTTCTCGAGTTCATATCATGCGACTTGGAGTTTTCTTTTCTTGCTTTTTTTTCTTCAGCCCCCCTCTCTTGGTGCGACAGTTTCGTATTTGCTACCCGGAGTTAGACGCCGCTGCCAGAATTATCATTTTATCGAGGAGCTAGTAGTAGGATATATGTTGGATGGATTCCGCTGCGTTGCCTCAGAAAAGCGCTGGTGACATACGGTGCGGGTTTACTACGTGGCGCAGTGGCAACTGGCAATATGGGGCAGCAAAAATGCAGTTAAGGTAAACGTTTTCCTTTCGTTTTAATAAATTCGATAATTTTTAAAGAAACTAACAACCTAATAACCAGAGAGTTAAGGAAATACATAAGTCGTATCGAAATCCCATCATCCATTCTGCCGTTTGCGCAAGAGATGGGGAAAATGGGGGATATCAATGAAAACCGCAGTGGAAATCAGAGGCAGAGACACCACCAATCTCTACCAAACGATCAATAAAACTGTGGGCTCTCGTAATCAGGAACCCATTGCCTCGTTACGTCAAATCGCTGTAATGATTCGTCCTGGAGGATATTCAATAGCTCATCCTGCTGCTGTTGTTGATTGAGCACATTTGCAGCATCGATACCGATAGGCCGTCCACCCATAGTCCCCAATGTTTTGATATTTTGGGTATTGGCCGTGCCGGGAACAAAAGGGTCTGCGGGGTCCCAGCCGCCCAAGAGCCCTGGAATGCTATTTGTTGGGAAAACATTACACATTGAAGCAGGATCGAATATTCTCGGGAAATCTGCGACTTCGGGCACCTCTGGCCCTGGAGGACTATGGCCCTGCTCATTCCCGTAATCGGTAGAATGAGTTCCAGTGGAGTATGAGGCACCATGAGAAGCGGCTGTTCCAGTTGTTCCAGGACTAGGTGTCGTTCCCTCCACCGATTGTGAGCCGGACGAACTTTCATACGTGTATGGGGAGGAATGGCTATGGGGGGAGAAACTAGCCCTTGTTGCTGGCGGGGATCCGGTGTGGGAGTCACGCGACTTGATAGAAGGAGTCTGAGTAGAGCGTCTACTATTCGCGGAGTAGCTCTGCAAGGCCGCCTGACCTAACCTGTCAAATAGGTCTGCCGCTGCTTCTGTGCCTGGCCAGCGCTCTGCGAGGACGGTTAACAAGGAAAGACTGATCTCCAGATTACGCTCCACTTCCTCTCGATGATGGATTTCACGAATTTGGTCGTTATACAGGGTCCAGATTAGGGTGATGGTCGCAGTGTAGATCTGATGAAGGTAGACCCAGGTGAAGTCAATTGACTTTTCTTCAAACATTTTCTTTTGGAGATGAATTCCTTTTATAGCGGAATTATAACAGTGCAAGACTGCTTCTGCCGATGGCTGAGGTATCTGAGGGCTTGGTCGATAAGTGAAGATGATCATAAGGTGGTACCTGTGGCGCGGTTAGTGAGGATAGGATCTTATCATATTGATTTACTAACCTACCTATGATCAAACCTACGTACTAATGTTAGTATAGATATCAAAAGTAGATCAAAGGAGACTTACCAGTCTGGATTCATAGTGCCACCGAGCTCATCTGCAGGACAAGAGGCTCTCCAGTTGTCAAGTTTCGCATGAATTTGGGCGAACCAAGGGTTACTGTTATTTTTCGGGTGCTCCCTTGGGTTTTGATATAATGTTTGTCGAATCTCGGCCTGCAACCTCCTCATGCGGAAGAAATGCATGGATATCAGTTTTTTAACAGAAATAGGACCTGGCAGAATCCCGCCGGCCGTTATGAATACGTCATCAACTGGTGCGTAAAATCCAACGTCCACAAAGGCGTCTGCCGTTGCAAATGCTGACGGCCGGCCTAATACATGTGAAAGTCCATATCTACCGATCAGTCAGTTTGTGACACCCTCACGATGGCTGGGAACGGTGAGGCTTCGAAGAAGAAAAAAAAAAATGAGAAAGCGGAATCATAACAAGCATCACATACTCCATGGAAGCAGACGTCCAAAACCACCTTCTTCTCATGTCTTTAATTATCGGATCGAGGGGAGCAGAACTGAGCATGATTGTCCGCTCCTGATGGTACCCAAGTTGTATGCATAGTCGGACCGCAATTCCAACTATGTGATAGACCTGCCCACGATGGTCAGATATGGGGCCACAAGGGGGGGGGGGTGTCGGGGGCTACCTACAGCCATGCGGGTGGGGGTTACTAGAGCATATTGTGCCATCACAAGCAAGCACTGGAGTGTCCTGTGATCCATGGCCTCCAGGACATCCTCCATGTGCTGCAAGCCAGCGAGGAAATAGCTATCAGCAAGACCAGCATAGTGCTTCGACAGCTTCTGCATACTAATCGCTAGCACCATCTTCAGTTGGAAATTTTTGAAGGGATCCTCAGAGCCCGCATATACGTCGGCTACATCTTGGACAAACGTGGGCTCATGGAGCACGGGGAGTTGATATAGTGCTAGGTTTAAACTATCAGTCAGACTCACAGCGGGTTTTGGGCGATGACCGGGACGGACCTCTTGCGCAAAACAGCTCGACTAGTTTATCAGTGATCTCACGATTGGGGAGTCTAGAAGCCGGCAGAGAGCTGAGATTCGCTTGTGGATCGCCCGGGTCCGGGTTGGTTCGCAGCGCATGTCGAAAAGTGTTTCGATGTTGGGTAGTCAAGTCGTTAAAAGCCTGAGGATCTAGGTTCTTCTTCGCGGCCTCTAGGACTAAGCGGGTCACAGTAACTCCACTCGAGGAGCCCACATATCGTGGCTCTTTGTAATGCTCGTAGTCGGCAAAGTTTACCAGGCCGACTCCCCTGACGAGTTCCTCACTGTTTGGAGCGTCGGTTTCAACTAAAAGGGCCTCCCTGACCCTTATCTGCTCCTCCAAGTCTTGGACCTTATTTTGCAGATGGACGACATAACTTCTTGGGATCGTTTTCTGCTTCGTCGAATCAAAGAATTCGCAGTGCGCGCCACTCCGCTCACATGGTCCGCATTTCGGCAGGCCTGCATCACAGCGAGTTTTTCGCTGCGAACAATAGTGAGAAAACCGACTTCAAGTACAACAAACAAATAGCGGTAGGCCCTTACACTCCTGCACCGGGTGCAAGCGGTCAAAGTATGGTATAGCTTTGGGGTGTTGGGGCTCTCGGATCCCCGTTCGTTCGCATTGGTATCCCTATCGTCACCCTTGATCCCTTGACGGCCATCAGCGGGGCTTCTCCGTCGTTCTGCCTTATTGCTTGCCGCTGGGGATCTTCTTGAGCTGTTATTTTCCTTCGCTTCCATCGAGAATTCATGGAGATTTGTTTGAGTCAGATTGATCGTTGCGACCGAGATGGCTATGCCCTTGGAGATGACGGAAGGTGGCCAAGTCAGAAGACCGACTCTTTTTTTTTCCTTCCCCAATCGTTTTTCCTCCCGTACGACAATCTGCCCTTTTGGTCTGTACGAGTACGGTACAGGACAGTGCCGGCAGAGGCGCAAACGCGCCGAGGAAACGCTCCAAAAAAGGAACAAGATGGAATGCCGTACAATAAACGCCGTGAGATTGGTAGATGCGCAAGGGTTTGGAGCGAATGTCTGCAAGGTTAGCAGTTCTTGGTGTCAGGGGTTCGCCGAATTTATGAATTCCCCGCGTGCTCCCGAACCGTACTCGAGTACTCGAGTACCGGTAATGGTGTTGAGCGGTAACACAGGACTGCAGGCCGCAGTAAGGGGTTCTTGTGCCCGAAAAGGGGAAAGAAGTGAAAATGACACCGGAAGGAGCGGGATGTTCCGAAGAAGAAGAAAAAAAAAGAGTCTTTACAATGGAGCGCAATGTTGATTGTGGGTATTCGGGCAGTTGCAGGTTGGTACTCGGGTATCATATAAATTTAGGTACAGGTACAAGTACCAGTACTCGTATGATACACGGTCGAGTTTGTATCTCTCATTTATTTATTTTCGGAGCGAGAGTTCAAGGGGCATCAGGGGTCCAAATGTGCTCGAGCACTCGAGGAACTTCGACGATGCAGGGGGAACCTACAGCACCGGTACCTGGTAGGCTGCCGTAAATAACGCCTAGGCTCTCTCTCCTCTTGGAGCAAGTGGATGGTGAATATGTAGGGCAGTCTCGGGGCTCTAGGTTCGCGGCGATCCTTTTTGACATGTGGGCCTCTCTTGTACTTGTATGATATGGTGCTGCACTCGAGTCTCGAGTATCATACTCGAGTACGAGTACGGGCGTGATATACGATACCGTATCCGGATATGAAATTTGCCCGGACGGTAGTCTACTCTACTCTACAGTATTTCCTGTGTCGCAATTCTCCCGAGTCGGCAACTTTTTCTCCCTCGAGACCAGGGTACCGGTATATGCGGTACCGGTACCACCGATGGCTGGGGGCTATGGTAGTCCTACTGTTGCGCTGTACTAGTACTCGTACAAGTACGAGTACTGTGCTCCCCCATCTGATCACAACTCCCATTATTTACGGTAACAACTTCCATTATTTATGGCACTCGAGCATCATGCCCCACTCGATTCTTCCGTATTGGACATTACCACAGTTTCGCCTTCCTCCCTGAAGGGAAAGTTGCGGAACACAGTTACTCGTACAGCACACACAAGGAAGGCATCACTCGCCCTCCCGCACACACAAACACACAAACACGCCATGTTGATACCGCAGAAGCTTGCGGAGAACGATGAGAGAACACTCCATCTGGCCAGGATATCGATCAAAGTTTGATCGCTTTACTTTTTCTTACTTTTTTTCTTCTTTTCGAATTTTCATTAAGTACCGGTATGCCATACCGGTATGTTACCGTGGTTTCTTACTCACGCTCCCTGAATGCCCGCGGAGGTGCTTTTTGGTAAGGTATCGTATGTTGCAAAAAGCACGATATCCCTTGTAGACTATACTTGGCAGCTACATCACACAGGCCCTCTCCTTTCTTTTTTTGCTATTGCTGCAGACACAACATCATTCTCCACGAGTTGGGAAAAGTCAAATTCTGCACCTTTTTTTTTAGTATGATCCAGTATCATACTGATAGCCGCCTGTCCGTCAGTCATCTTATGCAAGGGTCTCGTATTGGTACCGTGTAGTACCCCCCCTACATCTGTCTTATGACTGCCCGGTACTTGTGTACTTGGGTTATGGTGCACAGTGCAGTATGTGCATCAAGGAGAGCAGAATCGGACGGGGAAAGGGCGGATGGAGCTGGATGGGAATAGGATTGCACTGCCTTGCAGGGGCCCCGAGTCTTGTGTTCTGTAGGGGGTTTTATGGGCGGCTGGATGGGATGAATCTATCTTCCTCATCTTGGTGCTCGGATGAGTTGGGTTCGAGTTTTGCGATGCTCATCGCGATGGGGGAAGACTGTTTTGCCCGAGCATGGTATTAGGAAAGATACTCCAGCGGGTGGGTCGAGGGGGTTGAACCACCAGGCATCAAGTTGGTCGTCTGATACCATGCTCGAGCAGCTATCGTAGCTACCAGAAAAGAAGTTACCGTATCATCGCCGGGCAGTCATTCAGAGGGCATGCTTTATCGGGGTATACGGGATCTGGTCTAATGCGGGGCGAAATGCGGGCTGCCTCCACTTTCAATCAAATATAATAATACTCGTGCGGTGCTCGGGTATATATATATATAAAAGCCCTTGCTTAGGTAAGGTCCGTAGGAAATGAATTTCCCTATCTTCTTTTTTTCTTTTTGCCCGGGGATGAGTTCGATGTTAGGGGATTGTTCTTCTTTCCGTTTTCCCCTTCCCTATTAGAGTCGTTCAGCCTTGGGGTTGAAAAAGCCTCCCGCGCACCGAGTTCGAGTGGGTCTGCTAGATTTGTGCGCAAAAGAGGCTTTCAAACACCAAAACCCTTCAATCTGAGAAATTTACATACTCGAGTAAACGTCTTTCAACCCCCCGGCGGCTGAATATGGCACCTCTACGGTACTGCAATGGCCAAAGTCACTTTGTAACAAACGTCTTCTCCTTCCTAGGGGAAGATGTGAGGGGCTCGCAACATTTGTTTGGGGCGTGCATGAATGAATGAATGAGTGGAAATCATATCGACAACAGAGTGATCTGTGCACAGCCGTTACAACGGCTGTTACCCCTGTGTGTAATGCAACAAGGTCCAATCCCGAGCAGGCTGACTGCCGAAGAGGGTGCGGGGAGGCCGGAATCAAGCCATGAACGGCGTGTATGGTTGTGTGGATGGGTGAATGGGGTGGGGGATGGGGGATGGGGGATGGGGGATGGGGGATTAAGTTGGATCAAGTCCAGTTGACGCTACCGTTTCATAAACTTCTCTATGTCACCATATGTTTGCTTTGACTCTATCGTACTTGAGCGTTCCTTGACCTACTTTTCTTGATTGCTTGATCTGCTTGCTTGTTCTCCACGTACCATATTATCATATCGGTACTTGCGTCACGGGTGGGGTTGAACCTCAGCTTTCCTGGGAGCTGTATATTTTTTTTTGGAGGGGGGTTTTAAACTTCTTGAGCCTTCTCTCTCTTCTGCCCTTTCTTTGATCGAGTGGGCAAGTGGGAAACGAGAAACGGCTTAGGGGAGAGAGAGAAAGAAGGAAAATATGAGCAGCCCCGCGTCTGATTTGGGTGCTCCCCTTTTGAGAGTTAGCAGACCTGTCAGTGCCTGTTCACGATGTAGGAGTGCCAAAGTTAGGGTATTACACGCCCAGGGATAAAAACCAACCCCTCCCCTCCCCCTCCTTTAAACAATGTTCGGAACAAACTGACTAAAATACCCGCTCTAGTGTGATGGAAGACTCCCCGCTTGCACTGCCTGCGAAAGGTCCGGCAAGGCCCACGAGTGTACCGGCGGCAGCGACCAGTTTGCTCGTGGGAAGGAGAGGAGGTGAGTGCTTTGGAATCAAGCCAGCCTTCCCAGCTCAGAATTTCTGACGGATGTGGGAAGCTACATTGCATCGCTGGAGTCGAAGATAGAGAGGCTGGAGAAGAAGCTTGCTGCTCTGGAGAGCCGCAAAACGCCCTCTGGGTCAATGGGTGGTAATGGGTTTGGCGATGGCAACTCCCGCTTTACGCAGAATCTGAGAGGTTCGTGGGATAGCGCCGGGATCGTTTGGAATTTGATTTACTGATTAGGGGCTTTCAAGATCAAGATCGACGGAGCGTAACGCCTGGGTCCCCGCTGCCGAATGGGACGAGGGCTAAGACGAAAAAAAGGGAGGAGGCTAATGAGATTGAAGAGCTGGTTGCCGATTTGGGATATATGTGGGTTTGTGTTTTTATTGCTCACTTCAAGACCAAGTGAGGAGTGGGAAATGGGTCAGGAGCTGATGGTGGATTAATGATCTAGGGCTATCAATGCTACCACTCGAGATTTTTATGGATTCGCGAGAGATATGACCTTTGCGAAGGTCGTGCTAAAGGCGTCAACCTCTTCAAAAGCTCTCGAGACGAAACCTAGGGCGAGACTTCCCCCACGCCACACAGCGACACAATTGATACAACACTACTTCGACAAGATATTCACTACACTTCCATGTCTGAACGAGGCCAGTTTCTTTGGTGCAGTGGACTCGGTGTATCGCAATGAATCGACGTGTTCTCCCTACGATATTTACACGGTTTACATGGTACTTGCAATCGGGACGATGTCATTGTCTAAGAGCAGGGATTCCCTGGCAGCGCATAACGCGGCGTGCTTTGTGAAATCTGCCCTTGAGCATGCGGATGCTGTGATTTCCCCTAGTGCTATTACCGGTGTTCAGGCTGCCCTGCTTCTGGTGCAGTACTCTATGCTGGAACCTGTGCATTTTAATAGCTGGTATCTGATTGGGATTGCGTCGCGGATAATGGTGGATTTGGGGCTTCACCAGGAGCCAACAAAAAGTCTGAGGAAGAAGTCGGCTGATATGGACTTGAGAAGGAGAATTTTCTATTGTGTGTATACTTTGGACAGGTATATTGAGTTCTGAATTCCCTATAGCAATATTTTTAGTGACTTCTGCAGGTCAATCAGTATGGTGCTTCAACGACCATTTACATTCTCGGACGACTCGGTATTAGTCGACCTCCCAAAATGTGAGGACCCAGAGGTAGCGAAGCAGATAATCGTCCGGGGAACATTAACGCCAATGGCTGCTGCAATCCATCTCTTCGATCTCCGCAGACTGCAATCAGAGTGGTATCAATTCCTGCACCTCTCGGGCTCGGAACCTGTGCAAGATCCAACGGCCTACTTCCGCAGCAAAACTGCGATGCTCAAGGAGTGGCTAGGCAAAATCCCTGAGTCAATAAACAGCTCCACACGGGACTGGTTGTATCTAGAATGGTACTACCTAAATGTCTACACCGCAGCTCCATGCCCCAAGATCCCAAGACCTTGTGACGAAGCCATGGTCCAGGTTTTCCAAAACTGCGTAAACTACGCCCTCATGTTCCGCAGTATCCTCCAAAACTCCAACGTCCGCTTTGTATACACGTACCACGACGCGCTTCGAACATACTTTATCGGGAACAACTTCCTCTACGCGCTCTGGCGCTCGGAGGACACGGTTATCACTAGCGCGAATGTGACGTCAACCATTGACGCCATCAAAGCGATCATATTCGTCCTGACTTCCATGATTGTGCGCTGGCAGGAGGTCGAAGCCCTAAGAGATAAATTTCGGGTGGAATCGAGCTACATGTTGAGGAGCCTGGAGGCACGGCAGCAGTCCTTATTGGCTCCACCTAGGCCCAGGGTTACGAGGGAGGAAGCAGAGAGGACGCTTAGGCATCAGCTGAGTATTGAGTGGAGGGAGATTGACACTATCAATCCGCAGCTGCATAATCCGTCGGGGCATATTGCCATGGCGGATTTTGGTAATGTGGCGTTTTATCGGTACGCTTAAGTGCACTATGCTGTAGGTGGTTCGGCGGGAGGGAAGACAGGCGGAGGAGGGAGGGATTATGGTTGGCTTTGTTAGTAAATTGGTTACTGCCCTCTCCGCCATCCTTCTTACTTACGGCTAATCAGCCAATCCCCCCGTATTCCATCGCTAGCATTCACACCGGTTCTCACTGCAAGAGCGAACTAGTGTTGGTTTGTTATCGGCTGTAAGAGTACTTGTTGGTATATTTTGCAGCTATGCGTTGTGGGCTGTTGGCTTGATTTTTGAACCTACGATTTGTTCATATGAATTGGATGATGATGGTCTGGCTGTTTTGTTACGTCTCTCACATGAGTGTAGTTTTATTTAGCCATCCTTTGACTAGCAACTTTTGTTTTTGTTTTTCGGTTATTTGACAGGATACCCCTCTCTGAAACCAAATTCAACAGAATGCCACTGTAAAAGAAAATTTGATAGAATGCCATCCACCCCATGTGTTTCAATCTAATATTTTCTACACAGTATGTTTCACCTCCAGTACTATAGGTCTAATATAGAATGAAATATATTAAGGCCCTGTTCGGCACGTCACTTTTATAGCATAAATTTTGGCATATTAAAGTTTTTATATAGGGGTGTGTTGGGTAACTGACATTATATCACGATATATTTTTATTACCTCTATAAATTTTTATTGTATGTATTTCTTGTAGGGCTAGGTTTGAATCATGAAATATGATACATGTTATGACAAATAAAATGAAGAGTAATATTACATTATTTGTAGCAAAGAGCTAATAGATTATACATCATTCGAATTTGCATCATTCAACTATCAGCCACTTTTTATTATGAATGAACAACAATCGGAAAACTTTCTGCCTCAGAATAGCCATGAGCTCACTACCTTTGACTCTGATGAGAGCTGTTCAGACTCTGATTCTGATATGTCCGAAATGAATGAAGTGTGCTCCCGTAAGCATATCAATTTGCTTCAAGTTATCGCTAATGTCAAGGAGTATGTTGCTCATCAATTTGAAGTAGTAAGAGTCTGTACCTCTATTCTAACCAGTAGAGCCTATACTGTGGAACTATTATCAGCAACTACCAGTAAGAAGCGCTTTCATGAGGTTCTTCGTATGTCAAAGCAGGTATTTCTACATTTATGCAGTTTGTTGGAACAGGGTAGCCACTTGAGAAGCACACAACATATTTTTGTGACTGAACAAGTGGCTATGTTTGTCTAGGCAGTATCCCACAATGCATCTAACCGTCAGGTCCAAGAAAGATTTCAAAAAAGTAGAGATACTGTAAGCAGGTAAGGATATTTGACATCTTACTTATTACTTTAGCATTATACCATATTAGATAGTGATTGGATAGCTAATGTGTCCTTAATTAGATATTTCAACAGTGTCCTTGATGGCCTAGTGGAATTAGCCAATGAGTTTATTATGCTTCAACTTAATGAATGCCCATATGAGGTTCAGCGCAATCCTAAGTTCTATTGATACTTTCAGAATGCTCTTGAAGCCATGGATGGCACCCATATCACCGCTCATGTCCCAAATACCATGCTCTCATGCTTTCATAATTGTAAGGGACAGGTATCACAAAATGTTTTCGCCGCATGTATATTTAGTATGTACTTTTGCTTTGTTTTGTCAGGTTGGGAAAGCTCCGCACATGATGGAAGGGGTTTTAGAGATGCTCTAGCAAAGGGATTTGTGATTCCAGACGGAAAATACTATCTGAAGGATGCCGGGTATGCTTTGAGCAATCATTGCCTCACCCCCTATCGTGGGGTTAGATATCACTTGTATGAGCATTATCAGTTGCGTAAAAGGTAAGTTGGAATCATAAGGGATTACAAGTGTACTACTTAATGAAATATAAGTTCTAACTATATTTCAAATAATAATAGGCCAGCAAATAAAGAAGAGCTTTTTAATCTCTGACATTCTCAATTACGAAAGACAATAGAAAGATCCTTTGAAATCTTTAAGCGTCGGTTTTCTATCCTGCGAGGCCAACTTGAGTTCCCAATGGTTACTCAAGTAAAACTTGTAGTAGTACTTGCTGGTCTTCATAACCTTATTCGTAAGGAATCTCCTGAAGCAGAGCGTTTTATGGATCAATTAAATGAACAAGGTTTGCATGCTAAATATTCCATTCATTCTGTAAAATATAAATATTCTCTCTGTAATACAAAGCTAACTATTAGACTATGAAGACTATACTCAAGATGAACTGGAGGGGTCGAGTGATAGACTATATGAGGGAGAGAGTGACTATGTGGATACTGATGATGAAAGTCAGGAGGAAGTAGCTGTGGAACAGGAACAGGCTTCCCCAGCTATGGGGCAAATCATGGAGCAGATAGCCGATAAAATGTGGCAGGACTACTAGTTATATTTGGGAAGGCATGAGTTTCACTAAAGGGTCAATGTATGTAAAAAAAAAGTTCCTATTTCTAATCTAGCTATAGAAAGAAAAGAAAAAATCCAACTTTAAAACTGGTAAAGCATGTATATCTACAAGTTATTCTATCAGTTTCCAATTTGATACTTGATCCATGCACCTCTAACTACTCTAGGTGATAATCCAATAAACACACAGGCCTTGGCCCTGTCCTCAAAGAGAGAAACTGTCTTGACCATCTCATCTACAGACAGCTTATCCGAATAGCAGTCCTCGAGGACTTTGATTGCTCTTTCATACTTTGAAGGCATTCCATGCTCCCTGTCACGGCCACCCGGCTATGGAGACGGAATATGCATGGGTTCTTCGTGGCATATATTGGTTGTGGTTTTCTTGGTTGTATGGTTGGATTTTCTTTTTATGAACAATTGGGATGTGTGTTACACATAATAGCGTAATCGGTGCGGCATGTGACTAAATGCATAAGGTCATGTGTTCCACTCCGGGCCCCGCCGTAGTATTTGTAGCGCTAAGATATTAGCGCATGATATGACAAGGCATCTATGCAGCCCGCTCCGCGGAGATACGAGGCATGCGACCGAGGGGTTTTCACTGGATAATATAGAAGGAGCTCCGCTCTACAAGATAAGACTTAGTTAGTTCAGATTGGTTGGTTAGTTATAGAGCTACGACCTCTGCAAGTCTATATGCAATTACAAGAAGTAATATGCATGTCCCTTCAGCTCGCGTAAGCTAGAGTCATCCGGAAGACCTAGTTATGATTGGTTAATAATAACTCACTGGTTGAGTTAGTTATCTTCGTCATGCACTCTAAGCTATCGACATAGAAGAATCATTGATAAGTCCTTTGACAGAGCTGATCACTCCACTCAGGAAGAGAGCGGGGAAGTTAGTTTTCAGGGTCAAACAGAGTTCGCACTCCAAAGACACTGAAGCGTTAGTATGGCAGGTACATAGTCAGTAAGGGATTGGATATAGGCCGCGACCACCCAGACGTGGAATGTAAATATCGAGGTGTCTCCCGAGCTTTAAGTTTGACGCTCCGCGCCCTCTACTTTCCTCTCGCTTAAAAACATTACCGCATTCGGCCAGGTAAAACTCTAGGGTTTTGCGTGGCAACCATCTCCACACACCTAATTCCTTTCTCGCTTAGGCTTCAGTCTCTTAGTGCACAGCCCCCTCACTACCCCGCACAGCCCCCTTTACTATGGAGGGGCGTGGTCCGGGCCCTTCAAGGTCTGACTCTCGAGCCTCCAGTCGTGCCTCGCCCTACGAGTCAAGGGCTCCAACCCCCTCTCTCCCCGATAATCTCACCCTGATAAGGGATGAACTAGCCCGCACTCTCCTCCACATAGGACAGGCAGCCCCCCCGATTCCCCCCCCTACCGACACTCAGCTTCAGCATCTATCTGCTGGCGAAGTCATCCTCCGACCACTTGTCTGCACCGCCCTTTCCGGGATTGGCAGCATCATCCAAAGGTTAGAGGCCCTTGAACAGTCCTCCATGGCTGCTCCCAAGGATCCTGCCTCCCTCCCTGCGTTAGAAGCTTCCGTCCGTGACCTCTCTCTGAGAGTCACGGCATCAGCTGCCCGCCCCTTAGCCGCCCCGTTGGG